AATAACAGTTTCTTTTATGAAGTTTTATTTATCAGGTTTTCAGTATCAAATATTGATATATAATATTTGATTCAAATTTGCAATTTGGGAAGAGCAAAATTTGAAAGTTCAGAGGTTTTAATGTACACGGCTAGTTATTTTAGCTAGCTAGTTAAGCTGGTATATTTGTGCCCCATAAAGCTCAAGTGGTATAACTCCATTTTCAGTTAGGTCGATAATAGGGTTCAACAAGTCAATTTATAGCAAATGTCATTTTATAATTAGCACAAATAATGTAGTTGTACATTCATGTTACACGATTATCATCCTAATTGAAAATGAAGTTACACTACTCAAGGGGCTCATTTTTATCCACACTTTTCTCTACATGGGGGAAAAACATTGGAGAAAAGAAAATTCTCCCATGGAAAACCCTTTTGAATGGAAAGCTAGATCAATAAACGTCAGCTACCGTGTGTATTGACATCTACTGATAATTAATAAAATATATTGGTAATTGTAATACTTTACAAAATTCTCATGATTTAATACAATTTATTTATTTTCAAAAGAATGTATGTTATTGGTAGAAGTAATTGTGGAAAATAAATTTAATTTGAACAAAATATCTCTATTTTCAACATTGTAGTTGTAGGCAGATGCAGAAAAAATTCATATTTTTTTAATTTAATGAAACATTGAAATTGGATCTGTGCCATCTGTATAAATGTATTTCACTCTAATCTTACAAGAAATTTAAAGTTTACTTGTGGTGCTAAACAGCACATATTTTCTCGCATTATTTGTAACTACTATGCAATATTATACTGCATGAACTACTCTTATTACCAGGCCCTAACAAAAAAGTGTATAAATCCTGTGCTAAATTTAGAAAACAAATCCTCTTATCACGTGGTGTAGCCAGAATCCATGTTTTGTGGGACCTTGAAACTGAAAAATAATTTGGTGATAAAAGTCTGCCTCTCTGTGAACAACACTAGCAACTGAACCAATTTTCTCCAAAATTGATATTCTTCAATCAATCTGGCTGATGTCGTGGTCCCTTGAATTCGAAACTGATATTTCAATTTTAGGGGTACTTTACATGGAGCCCCTTGGGACATTTTCCAAATAAAAAATAGGCTCCATTGTTTTTGGTTAAATTTTGCTGTTGGATAGTTATAGGGACGTTTAAGAGAATGGTGCATGTCTATAGCCGTTAAAAACTCTGATTTTTTGAAAATTGCAGAAGTTCAGAAGTTTTTCGAAGTCTTCCCACAACTAAAGTATTAAAGATAGAAAATTTTCCCTTAATAAAATCTGACTTTGAAATAAGGTCATGCACAATTTTTCGAAAATGTGAGTACTTTTCGTGTGATTGTGCATGGAGAAGGTGGAGAATGTACATGCTGATTTAGCACCACTAGTTGAAAAAAATCAAAATATCTTAGGAGCTTAATCTAAGCCAACCGTAAAAAATTATACATACATAATATCCGTTTCAAATGCGAGGGGCCGAATCATCAACCAGATCTATTGAGAAATATCAATTTTGGAGAAATTCTGGATTTGTTTCAAGAACTAGTGCAGGTGACGGATGGGCAGAGGTTTTGAGATGAATCACTTTTTCTGTGTCAACTACACTCAAAACGTTGGTTCTTACTACACTGTATAAGTCATAGAGAAAGTAATTTACTACACGTAGGAGAAAGAAGAATCCTCATTTTTGCTGTCAAGGACTCAAATACTTATTTTTCTGCAGAAAAAGTCGGCACTTTTTCTTGCAGCAACTTTCTAATTTTACAATGCAGTAATGGTTGCAGAAAAGAAAAATACCGACCCTTGGTCTTAAGGGGAGAGGGCATCATAGTACCCATATCAAATTTATTATTGATGTACTCTTTGTAGGAAATGGTTACCTAGAAAATTATGATATTTTGCACTCTAAAAGATACAGCTGATTGATATTGTTTTGACATTTTTGGGGATTGATTAAAAAATAATTAGTATTTTTTCAATTATGACTTTTGCCCTAATTTTTTCAGCATTTTTGGACAAACATTATGTATTATTATTTAAGAATTTACGTAAAAATGTCAATTTATTGCCAATACAACAATAAATGTATCTTACAAGTTATAATAAATTGCGAAAAATAGTTTCTAGGAAAAGCTAATTACAAAATAAGTACAGTTTCGGCAAACGCCATTGTACTTGTCACTGCTCTACTAGATCTTTACTGCTCCGTATTCTAGACCATCTTTTTCACTGGAAAAGACCAATACTACAAACGTATGTTTCAATGACTCATTAACAATCCAACATGCGTTCAAAATTACAAAACAATAGCCATACTTGTATGCAGTGTAAAAAAAGACATAGCTCATGGGCGCTAGGACATTTAAATAAGAATTAAAGGGACTTTCAGGCGCCATAGAAGAAAAATGTTGATATATTAGGAAAGTGAATTGAACTATTTATTTGGTCAAAATATGAAAATCAATAATTTGACCCATTTCATAGTACCGTCTCCCCTTCAGGAATACAATGACATTATGCCGAAAAGACGAAAGAAGAATTAAGAAGAATTACCCACCGGGAGAGGTGGTTCAGGGCATCAAGTGATCGCACTGCAGTGCCTCTGACCGGGCGGTCCTAGATTCGAGACCCGACGGCA